TATTTAGCTATTACGTAGATATGATATAGGTATAATTCTATAATATTATATAATGGTATATCAACGGTGTCTGAAAATGGTGGATACAAGTGCCCCATTGGCCCATGTTTGGCCATGGATTTCGGGGTGCCCCAGTTTTGGGTGCCATGTTTCCACAGCTTCCACGTGCCATGTGGTTCAGAAGCAGTTAGTGTGCGCGCAATGTGTGTAGTGGTGGAAAACATGAAGATAAAGATGTTATATGTCAAGCAGGAATGATGTAATGCTGTTGTAGATGAAAGCAAATGTGTTGGATGGATACAAAGATAGATACATACGTACGAGTAGAATTATGTCGATTAGAAACACTGATACATGGGCAGGCAAATATCTTACGTGAACTGTTGGAAAACTGTGTCAAATTTCAAGTGATCAAAAAGGCCACCAAAGTGGCTCCTCATTGCCATAAAGGGGGAGGCGCACCATGTGTTTCAATAGTAGTAATAGTGACGTGATAATGAAAAAATATAATTAACGATATGACACAAATAGTACTAACAGAAATAGTTTTAGTGGATCCTAAGTTGTTGTTGATGCAATGTTGAACTCTTCACTGTATGCGTTGAATCGGCAGTACGTTGGCAACTCACAGGATGCAAGCCCTCATGGGTCCTTCTCATTCTTGATCACCAGCAACACTGCCTGAACCAGTTGGGCAAAACGTTTGGGTTTGTCCAAAGATCAAGTCCCAAATCCAATGGTACACCATTATTTCCCCGCTTTTTTCGGAGTAAACCCCAATCCTGAGACAACTTCATCCTTGTTCCCCACGTCGGATTCGTCCGATTCTCCAGAGCTCATCTTTGGGTTCCATCTTGCTGCAGCTATCGGATGGGTTCCAAATGGTTTGATCAGCCAAGATCGACCCAAGAATCCCAAGTGTTTGATCGTCTTTGTCTCAATTGAAACTGCTATGAATTGGATATACCCGTAGTCTTCATAGTTAAATTTCCATAAATTGGCTGGTTCATCTCCTACGGGACAAACTATGACAAAATGCATTGAAAAAAGAACATAAAAATACCAGACAAGCTGATCGTTAGTTTATATTATTTGCCCCATTCTTTTTGGTGATTGGTTGTTGAAAAACCTGAAAAATCTTGGTCCTACGGCCTCATCATTCCTTAAATTATGCTTCAATTTCTAGATGTAAAATGATGTAAAAGGATTGAAAGCTCCAAGCAGTCATACGCAGTTATCATATGCAGTTATAGTCACTGGTTCCCCCATATTTTCTTCCACCATTGCATGCTTTTGGTTGGCAAAAAAAGCATTCACCACCGCAGTTCACCCAGTGATTCGCCTTGTGGAAGTACTGCGCGGGCGGAAGCCTGCTCAAGCGCTCGTCTTCGAAGGGTTTCCCCAGCAACCAACTGGTGGCCGAGCCCCAGAGCACGCTTCCTGGCGATGCACCACGGATGACCAAAGCTCCAGCGGAGTGGATGTCACACATCGGATGCGCGCCTTTCAACATGCTCCAATGTCCCACTGGAACAGAAAAACTCCAGAAATGAACGACTGGTTTTTTGGGGTTTGGAAAAATACCAAATCTTTACAACAGAAATAGAAACAAACTGTAAATAGCTCTCTTAAACACCACTGCCGGTCAGTTTGTCGTCACTGCTCTCCTTCGACCACATCTTCTTTCAAAGACTGGAGAACTCTTTCCACGACATCCTGCGCCAAGGATAGGGTCGAAACATGTCGAAACAATCATGGCACCAAGTGGAGATTCACCCAACATTGCCAGGCGAACTGCCAGGATGTATATGATGTATCACTCCGAAACACAAAATGGAAGCCTGCTAACATCTACTCAGTTTCACTGTCTAGTAAAGTTTCCTGATACTTTCAAGAGTACCAAGGGCGAACATCTTGGAATTCGAGGGTGCCCAGTTGCAGGGGCGTGGCATTGGGTCACGTGACAATTCCAAAAACAATAGGAAATCAAAGCTGAGATGTTCTAAATCTGCTTCATGACTTGTGCAACACATATAACCATATATCACCGATGATGCTGATGTGCCGTGGTCAAAACATGGTTTTTAACATGTCTATGTGGAATGGTCATTCAGATAGGAAATCCAAACTCATTCAAAACAAATGGCTATCAATGAATTCCTGGTTGGTGGTTGACCTACCCTCTGAAAAATATGAGTTCGTCAGTTGGGATGATTATTCCCTCTAGATGGAAAAATAATGAAAAATAAAAAATGTTCCAAACCACCAACCAGATTCCATAACCATCCCCTATGAAAAAATGGTAAAAAATCTGGGAGCCACATCCACCACCTTTCCGCATCTTTCAGCACCTGTGGTTCGGCTGCTTCGGGGCTGTATCTGGTGGGAATGAGGCATCGATTGATCCAGCGCCGCAACATCTCGTCCGAATGGTCGTTTTCGCCGCCAGCCTTGGGGCTTGAGTGGCAAAGATGTCTTAATGGGACAACCATCAAGATATCCCATTGGTTTATATAGATGGGTTAGAACATCTATAACATTCTATAACCATTGTGATTATAATTAACAGTTATATAGCCATGACGATTAATATGTTGCTTATAACATCTATAATCTATACCCTCTGGTAAACTAACATAACTATGGAAAATCACCGCTTTTGATGGGTAAATCCACTATAAATTGCCATTTTCAATAGCTTTTTGTATGTTTACCAGAGGGTAACCACAACTTGTGAAAATCTCCTGTGGATCCCAAGTCCACCAGTCCATGGTGTCGAGGTGTCGATAGCTTTCCCTTAAGTTTTGATGGCAGTTTTGATGGCTGAAATCCATCCCCAATAACCAGCTAGTATAACTCCTTACAATTAAAAAAAAACATGGGGCAGTTAAGACCATTAGAGCAGCCAGAAAACAAAAACCAGTTTACGTTACTTTTAGAGGCTTCTACCTCCAGCCAAACGACTTTCCCATGAGAGGAATCAAGTTCAATTGCAGAATCAGCAGAACCAATCATTGAAAATGGCGCAGGCTTGAACCAAGCTGACGAAGCTATATGATATTTGACCGTATGTATGTCATAATACTCGTATGTTATCATAAAAGAATAACACTAAATAACAATAAATAACAATTTAATAATAATGAGAAAAAAAATACAATGATTGTAATAATGATAATGATGATGAGAATTATAATCACAATAATAGTGATAATGATCACCGTGATATAAAGATGATAATCAATAATAATAACATGTATAGTAATTAAGAACAACAAATACAGATAAATACAGTATAATAATCGTGACCACAATCATAGTACCAATAAGAATCAACAATAGAAATATCAAGAATAAGAATGGTCCAAGGGCACCCTGCCCCTAAGCTCAGGCCTTATTTCTTGTTCTTAAACATCAACCCGTCCAGGTCCAGCCTTGAAGTCCTCTAATTTGGCCTGGTACTTGGAGCCCAGCCGCTCAAAGAGCCTGGAGATTCTACGCTGGATTTCACATTTCCAACATGGAATCCAACGATTGGGAATTCACGGGGATTGATGGTGATTCATGTGGATTCATGGGGCTAGGATTGGATTTACCCTCCGGGTAATCAACAAGGCTGGGCTAGCTGGGAAATCCTCTGTAAAATTCATGTGCATGTTAATGGGAAATCATCGAACTAAACCAAATAGTGCAGTTTCCTTTGCCATGTTTGATTACCGGAGGGTATCACATTTGGAGTTGTAGACCCAACTTCTACATTTTTTTTGTCGCATCAGATCTAAATCTTACACTTTGAACTTTGACCCTTGGTTTGAATAAAAAAACACTCAAACTGGAGTTACCATGGGCTTTACCACGCGGCTGTATCAAAACATCAAGGCCATGCCTCTCCCACATCATCAAACCATCCCCCACATCTGCTGCTGTGAAGACGTCTCCTTCCTGCGCTTTGGCGATCCTGAGCAGCATCCAAGCCATGAGTTGGGCTTTGGAAGGCTAGAAACTTACGAGACGAACCATCTTAGAATGAGCACGTCTCAGGATCTATGTTACTAGATGTTGCTATGTTAGTTGGTGAGTTTTTCAGGCTCCGGAAATTCAGCTGCTTTGCTCCCCTTCAATCTCAAATTTCTCCACCAAAAAAGCACCTGAAATTCTGCTAAAATTGGGGTATGCCCCAAAACTCCAATGTACTGCAACTAAAATCACAAGTCAATCATCTTCAATCCATTGACCTTCGGCTTTTTTCCCCATTTGGCACACCAGCCCACCCCCAGAGTCGCATGGCGTCGCCTGACCGAGCGTCCGGCGTCTCAGTTCCGCTTGCTCTTCTCTCAGCTGTCCCAGTAGCAGGCCAGGCTCCACGGAAGCCATGGTCCAGGTGTCTTGTCGGTTCAACTCACTTTGAAGTTGGCCCGCACTCCATCCACAGTAGCCCACCAACAAGAGGAAATCGTCCTGAGATTTGGGAGAACTGAAGTTATCCTGAAGTTCTACCTGGTGGCTTCGTATGTAGAAAATGCATTTTAAAAAAAACTTTAAGATCTGACTCTAGATATACGATGCTCTTGTGGACCTGGGCCCCCTCAACAGTGGACTTGGGGCACTCAAAAAATGAACACAGAAAGTTGTGGGGCAACGGTGGTGCGTCTGTGGAACCCGAGAAATTGGCCCTGCCACCAATTCCGTTTGGAAAATCTGAAGCGGTGAGGCGGTGAGATTCCTGTTGCTGACTGGTTCTTATTTCCTGGTGTTGTAGTAACTGGCGCCATTGCCTACACCCAACCAAAGATGTATGGGATAAGCCGGATAAGCACTGCAGAAATAGACAGAAAATGTGGTTTCGCTACGCCCCTGAAATTTGATGTACCACCACAAAAACTGGGATAGAAGAAACTTCCAAAAAAGTGCCACTTTGAGGATTCATGACGAAAAAAACAGGGGCGTAGACTTAAGCAAATCTCAGGCATCCTTATCAGCTTTGCCTTCTTTGACTAAAGCCTGACCAGACACGCGATGTGAAGATTTGGGGCCGTTGGAATCAGCTGCTAAATCATGAATGATTCATGGACATATCAGGACCTCAACCAGTTGGATGTAGTGGGTTTCGGATCCTAAGCCATGTGCATCCTTGGCTGTTTCCTCAAGTTTTTCGGATCTCGATCCAAATTCAACCCATTTCAGCACAAAAAACCGGGGTTCCACCGGGAGAACCGGGAGAACCCAACCCACCAGAAGTTTCGAAGCGCCGTTTCATTCTGAATCGTGCCTTGGCATCTTCCAGACTGATGGCATAGACTCCCTTGGTGATGGTTTGGCTCACATCTTCCAGTCTTTCTAAGCCATGAAGGACGGAGTACTCCTTGGCGAAACTCTCTCGCTCCGAATCAAAAAAACTGCGAAGGCTTGGTGAGGAGACAAACTCGGTATGTTTAATGGACCCACAAAAATTGGGATGTTTAATGATAATGATGATATCATGTGATACGGTATCTATAATATATATATATATATTATATTGGATATAACTAAATATATATATATATAACTTTTATATAACATGTGGTGGTCAACCTTTGATGATGGAAAGCTACCCATTGATTAGAGTCGTTGAGTCAATTGGAAATAATCCAAAGGTGACGGATTATGAGATGGTGTTAAACCAGCAACTAGAAACTCTGGTACCAAAGTTACCAAAGCATCCAAGTTGGAGGTCAATAATCCCTTCCCCAGAAACCCTGTTTTGATGTGTCTGTGTCTCCCCGCAACAGGGATCCGAACCTGAAAATATTCCCCGTTTTCAACGGATGTGAAATGGGACAGCAATCAACCGTTTGGGGTCCCTTGACATCTGTCAATGGGCGGGAAAAATGCAATGAGAACCATGATTTCCATGGGCAGAGTTTGGATCTAAATCCTCAACATTCTGTCTGCAAGTCTTGTAAAACAGGATCGAAAACACTAAGTTACGTTCAGCCTGTGTTGTTTGCGCATGTTCCAAAAGTGTGGGGCCAAAAAAAAATCTCAAAAAATGATCTATTCTCGCAAATAGATCACAATGGGTTTTGAGGCTCACACCTTATTTTTTTTACCATATGGGTGCCTTCTCTTCCCAAAAAAACGAAAAATGTCTGACATAGATATCTATCAACCCAGTTCCAATTCGGGGTTTATTACTCGTAGTTGGGTAAATCTAAACTCCAATTTGGTTTTTACAAGCCATCTCAAATAAGTTTCTACCATCCATTTCTGCCAAAATTGAGTGCATGTTTAAATATAATATATATATAATATATAATATAATACATATATATATATTATAATATATCTTATATAAAATATATAGATTATATAATATATATATAATATTATATATATATAATATAATATTGTATATATATAGATCATATAATATTGTATATATATATATCATTATATATCATCATCATCGATTCGACCCGTTCCAAGCTCAGCCCCAGGTTCTGGGGGAATGCGGCCCCGACTATTTATCCCTTGGCAGTCACCTCCACACCAAACATTCCAATCATCCACGCCCTCGTGCGAGAAGTTGTCAAACTTCAAGGAGGTTTCCAGATCTAAGGTGCGGTAAGCAGTGGGTCGGTTCAGAATCACGCCCTTTGTAAAATCTGACCAGGGTTCAGGGCAAGAAACAAAGTCGAGCAGCGTGACCTAAACCCGCATCGACCCTTTATACTGGCTGATTATAACATGATTTCCCATCATGAATTGTGATTACTGACTACCCCAATATTGAGTGCTCAGTTGGGCAAAAACGTCAACGGCATTGGCAGTGTTTAGAACTTTTGTGTTTGTCCTGGTTGCAATGAAAATCAGGGTTAACGCTCAACCCACCTGGCTGATGATCTACGAGAAAAATGACGTTCTTGTGGAAATACTGCTGATTGACGCAGAAATGATCATTGGGCTCTGACAGCAAGATGGCGCCCTGCTCAATGATGGGCAACTCGTACGCCTCATGTTCAGCCAAAATCTGTTCCCGTGACAGCTCTCTATAGAGACACAGTATGCAACCAACAAATGCCAACAATTGCTAGTCATAGGGTCATAGGGATTTCATACCAGCTACAGCTAAGATTTTTTTTGGCAAAAACACAGCACCCAAAGTCCTACACAGTGAGCAAAAATGAGTTTTATGCCCAAAAAGATTCAACAGTAACAAGAAAAAACAGAAAAGTCCGCTGAATCCCAGCATCCCACTTGTCCTTCTCGGAGTTCTCTTCACTTCCCTCACTTCCCTCACTTCCCTCCTGCTGCACCAGCCGTGCCCGGAAGGCGCGCCAATCCTCTGTCAGCGCCTCTGCCTCCGCGGGCTGTGCCTCCGGCAGCGTCTCCTCCTCCTCCGCCCTGCGCGTGGTGGGCGTCCGCGACGTCCGCGTCCGCGGCAGGGAAGTCCTGGGGGAGACCCAGCTGAGACGATGGAGGCCGAAACAGAGCAACGCCAGGAGCGGCAAGAGACGTCCACGGGACATGGCGATGTGCGGATTTTTCTGGTCGAAAAGAACGGAGCACTGGAGGTTGGAAAGTCATTGAACTGGGTTTAACCCCAAAAACTGGGGGTTAATATGGTTTAGTGACCCCTTGATGGGCTTCTGAAAAGCAGCGTTGGCAGGCTATTCGTGATGCCTTGGTATTGAGTCGTACCAGCGATTTGATCAAAGTTTGTTGCCCACCTCAGCATCCTTAAGTTGGTCAGCTATGGGGAGGTGCCAGATCTATTTTTGCTGGTTGCCAGACCTCGGCAACAGAATTCTATCCATAGCAGCCATACTTTGCACTTGGAGTATCTTAAGTGACGTCCTCTTCTCATTGGGGCCCAGCCGCACGGCTTTGGGGCTTTGGGCTCTCACCTTGATTGGTTTGAGCCTAAACATTGAATCACCCGCGTCATCTGCCTGTAGGAGATCACAGCCAAACAACTCGGTAGCCTACAGCCGACACCTACGAGTTCCAACGAAACCCTGAAAACCTGAAGAATGTGTTGAAAAAGTGTGGTATGTAAATAGATGTCATGTTCAGGAAACATTCCTGGAAACATGATTCAACTTCAGATATCTGCCAGATATCTGCCAGATATCAATAGATCGAGCCCCCAACAGGATCGAGCCTCGGGGAGACGGACCGTTTCGGGTTTAGATTTCCCAAGAGCTATTCGAATCAAAAAAAAACGGGATCCAGGCGTGAAACCAACTTGGAGGATCTTGGAGGGAGAACTGGAGGAACCTTCTAACTTCGAAGATTCCAAGATTCTAAATGTTCCCAGAAAACAAACGACATTCACATGCCCAGCTTGTGAATTCTACGTGTTCACCCCGAAAAGAGGCACAAAAAATTGGGAGATTTGCACATGTCAAGCATCCCTGCCAGGGGACCATGGCAGCACATGGCCCTGAAATTTCCAAGCTTCCGGGCCACATAGGGATGGCTAACTCCTGATTGAAAGCACTATGTTCCAATGAATTGCTTCAACATGCTTCAAAGGAAAAACAAAAAGAAATGACACCATGAAATTCCATATTTGAAAGATAGCTCTATAAGGAAGGCAGGAAACCATGGTTTTTTCAAAAAAAAGTCGTGTGATCAGTCCACCGGGCTGATCGCAAATGGCAGGCTGATGGCTTTAACGGTTTAACCCCGTTGGAAAAGGATTGTTTTTTGGCAGTGAGTTTTGGCTTTCCGGTCTGGGGTTGCTATTGTTCTTTTGTAGTGTTTGGTTTCTCGGTTGTTTGTGGTTTCTTTGTATTTCAAAAAATTTGGATCAGAGATGCAACGCTCAATGTGCAGCAAGTATTGTATATACAAGCAATAACGAAACAAAGCAAGGGGAAGGAGATGCCAACAACAGAACATGTGTCTTTGTTTTCTTATGAGGGGAGGTGTTGCCCCTTCCCCCCTAATGTCCTCCCTCCTGCGCTTACCTAGGAAAGGTGGAAAAAACACTTGTTGAACACCTCTGTACCTGTTTGCGCGTTTTCGAGCCCTAAACTCAAAGCGCTAACCAACTGTAAAGCCCTTAAAACAAATCTTGAAAACATTGAATCAAACCTACAGAAACTCCAAGCAAACTCTAAACTCTAAACCCACTCTAAATAAACTACACTGATATCTCTTCTTTGCATAGTATTTATATCATGTTGGAACAAACATCTGCAATTTGCATGGTTCTTGCTTCACATTGAAAAATGAAGTTTTTGTTTTTATTTTGTTCCCAAGGAGCGTTATTCGGATGGATCTCAGCCACCAATTACCCTCCGGTAATCAAATGTGGCCATTGGAAATCCCCCATGTGTAGATGATTTTCCCCATTTAAAGCTCCATGTTTTTGGAGAATTTTCCAGCCAATCACGTTTCATAAAGCCAGAGGGTAAGCTAGTTGGTTGCTAGGTTTCCTATAGGTTACACAAAAAAAAAAAAAACGCAATCACCCAGGTAGTATAGTATAACCTATAACTGGGTTTCCTATAGGTTACACTATAGGTTTCCAATAGCCAGTAACCCAGGTTTCCTATAGGTTACACTATAACTCCCTAAAAGCAACCACGGTAACCACTGGCTCATCCCCACTATCACTGGCTCAACATCCTGCCTATCGGCGCCGCTGGAGTTGTCATCACAGTTTCGGCCTGCGAAAAGCCATGGGAAACATGGGAAAAAGTTCGAGAACTTGGGATTCCCTGGGAAAATTGATTGATGCTGATTTTTTCATGGGAAATCTCAACTGTAGATGTGGATTTCAATGGCAAAATCAGGAAACTTGGTGGGGTCCCAGTGAATGGGTGACATTTACCCAACATGATGATATTGAAATATCGGATATGGCCAATCTAACAAGCTGGTTTTCCTCATCATAGTGGAAATGCTCAGCCGATGGACTCAACCCTTCTGAAGATTCTTTCTGTTGCATTGGATCAAAAAACTATTTTTTTGGAGGAAAATGACCAATGTCTGAAACGACCAACCAGCTATCCTTTGATCTTCACTCTCAAGTTCACCCTGAGGCAGGAAGGGTTGATTTACATCTGGAAGTCATCGACTAGCCAGCGATGAGACTTTCAGGTAGAGTTTCACTGACAACCAAAAAAACAATCTCTTCTGGGGACGTGGGGACCATGTGAACCCTCAAAAAGGACATGTGCGTTTCAGTGGACTGGCTTTTCCAGTTGGCATCTGGCAAACTCTGCAGACGCTTCTTCCGAAGCACAGTTCTTCTCTGCAAGTGCTCTGAAACTTCAACGCCACTGCTTGGCAGAAAGGTGCACACATCAAGTATGGCTTTCTTTTATGTGCGTGGGCTGACAAACACGTCGAACAGGGGGAATAATCCAAAGACTTTCATATCTTGTTCTATTTTCAAGACCGAAGAAAATAATCCATCAAAATATCGATTTCTACAAATATATGTTTGCATTCAAGGCTTCAAAATACAGTATCTTCTCTCTCCAAAGACATTTAGCGAAGATAAATGGCTTTGGTGTCGCGTTGTATAAAAGGCACATATTTTGTTTGAGAAGATGTTGCAGATCTATATACTATATGAACCCATTGGAGTCCGTGTGTGTGTGTGTCCCACTCAAAAACATATTAGGTGGATGTGAAATAGACTTTTTGCAGATCTAAACATCCAAATACATCCCATCTAAACATATAGTCAAAAATCTGAACATATCTATAAACCATATCAAATCATATAGTGTATTAAAACCCATCTACATAGTGTATTAAAACCATATCAAACCATAATGCATTTAACCATATAACTTAATAGTGCATTAAGCCACCTTAAAACCATCTAAATAGACTATGATACTGTGGATGGACAAGCCCATTCACCAGTTGATGGTCAACATCCCTCTCTGTAATCCCATTATTTACAGTGGTTCATCGGAAGCCCAATAGCTAAACAAATAGTTATGAAATCATATGAAACCATGCTCTGCTAAACCACATTAAAACCATCAAAACAGACTATGAAAACCATCTATCTTATAAATATAACGAATTGTTGTAAAAACACATTTGGCAACCATCTAAAAACACCAAGAAACCTAATTATATATATATAAAGAATAGTTATGAATAGTTCTTGAAACCATCTAAATACAGCCGCCTCCGTGGCCTCCGCTGTCCCGCAGGCCGAGTTCAAGGCTGCGGAGATGGAGGGCTTCTTCGCCTAGAAAATCCCTCCAAAAAGAATGGCTTTCTGAATGGTGGTGGAGAAATGCTTAATACTGGTTAATAATGGTTAATAATGGTTAAGAATGATTAATAATAAACTTATGAATGGTTAATACTGGCTCCTGGTTAATAATGGTTAATAATGGTATATAATGGTGATTAATAATAATGGTGATGAATCATGGTTAATAATAATGGTGAATACTAATGGTTAACACTGGTTAATACTAGCTGATAAGAATTAGATTATGATGGTTAATACTGATTGATAATGGTTATTAATGGTGAGCAATGGCTATTAGTAATGGATGGTTGGTAATCGTTATTAATGATTAGATAACTCATGGTTGACCACAACTAAGCATCATGGCTATTACGATGGATGATGAATGATGATCAATAATGATTAATGGTGATCTAATGATTGATAGAATACTTATTAATGGCCATTAGTAATGGATGGTTGGTAATGGTTATTGTTGGTGAATTGGCAACTATTAATAGTAAAGATCAGCTATCCGAATATTTAAGAAGGATTCATGATGGTTGGTAATGTTTCATAATGACTAATGATAATCTAATGATGGTTAAGAAGGAGTCACGATGGTTAGTAATGGTTAATAATGATTAATAATGATCCAATGAAAATTTATAATGATTATTAACGGTGAGTAATGGCTAATAATGGCTATTTAGGCTTATGTACGTATTATCTAACTTTTTATTAACCCCTCAAAACGATAGAAATGATATGAAATGCTTCAATGAAACAAAATATTTAGGTGGGATATCACATGTTGACCTTTTTGGGGGTTGCTGTAGGTAGTTTTTGGCCCTTTAAAAAATCTTTACAAATATGGGAACGCCCTCCATCCACCGGAGATTTTCCCTATGCCAAAACATGCCAAACCACCCGCCAGATACTATCTGGATCTCTTCAAATAGACTTGGCATGTTCACGAACAGTCGTGCAGTTGGTTGGTGCTTGATGTTTGTGATCGGTGTAACCATGGTTTCAAAAAAGAAACGCATAAGTTGGTGTGTCCGCCTGCAATCATCGGCGGCGGTTGCCAATTTGGGAAGCCCAATCATTCCAGTGTTTGGGGGTGGAAAACTCATAATTATTTGAAACCACCGAAGGAATCCAAAGGATGGCTTCTCATGGAAACATCAAATCAGTAATCACATCTAACCACCAGCAACCATAGGGGTTGATCAGCAAAAACCGGACTTTAACCAACAAAAAAAGGGGACGTGAACCACCCAGAAATTGTCTTACGCCGGTGGGCCACCAGAAACGGATAGTCTTGCAAGAAATATGGCGGTTGCGAGCAACAAGAATGCTACATGCTTACATGCCTCCAGACCAACAATACAAATGGTCTCTTGCCTTTGAGGATTCAGAAAACCCTCATAAGTCCTCAAGTCTGGGTAGATCAATCGTGCACACTGCTTCAAACAAACCAGCTAAACATTCAATCTTTTTTCATCAGATTTGTGCATGTGAACTGTCTGATCACTCATTGCGGATACAGCTATTCAGCTATTCCAGTATTGTATGTGTTACAATTTGACACCAAAAAACATGGTCGTCGTTCCTAATATTCCTCCAGTTTTCCCTTCTTTTCCCATTTTTTGGTGGCCTCCAGGTCTCGCCGGTAGCTGTAGTCATGGAACCTACAGAGCTATGGCTGGGCATTTCAGGGCATTTCCAAGTGGAAAAACATGGCAAAAAAAAGACTGGGAAAACAGGAACACCATGGAATACTATGGAAAAAAAAACCAAAACACATATAATTTATTCCTCGAGTTTTAAAAACCCATCAAAATCTGATGTTTTTGTTGGCAGACCCTGAGAAAGCAGTTTTAGGATTAAACACATTTAAAGACCTGGATGTTCAATATCCGGACGTTTCAGGCATTCTAGCGTCGGCAGTGTGATCTCCCTTCCCTGAGCCTGCTCCTTTGTTAGAAGCCCCCAAACGTTGGGAGATCAGGGAAGCTGAACGAACTCAAGACTTCGACTTCGGGGAATCATGGATTTGGGGTGGTGAACATGAGCAAAACATGTCGAATGGGCAAACCCATACCATTTGACTAAAGCCATTTGATAAATCCTACACTGAAGTCCGAGGATGAACCCAGTAATATCACTACTTCTGTCATATTTAGTCCCAAGATTTCGTATGCAACTTCGTGGGTCAATGTTTTTGAGCTGCCAAAAATCAGCCAAATTGGTTTCCCTTTGGGCTCCACTTCACACCCCAGATGGCTTGACACAGCCAGAGCTATTTTTTGCTGGGCGGCAATCCATTCAAATCCAGGGAATATCATCCATGACGTCACTCGACTTCATTCGTTTGCGAACAGATTCTCGCCTCAAGCATTCCTCTCGGATTCGCTTTCGGTTCAAAATCTCTAGTCTTTTTCGCTCTGCTTGGGCCCTCTTCTTTTGCAACTTGCGGATTCGCAAGGCTTTGCGATGTTCTTTCTCTGCCAAACGTGCCTGCCTTTTTAGCACACACTCCCATCTCGCAAGAAGTGCCTTCAAAGCCAAGAGTTTCCTGGACAATCTGTTTTCAGTAGAGAATTTCTGGGAAGAAACTCGTAGGCGCCGTGGCCGGTGCCGATTCTTATCTTCCAAGGCCATCTGCTGGCGTTCCCAATGTTCCAAGCTGCTAGTAGTGCTCTTCTCTCGCAAGCCCCTTGGGCGATGCTCATTCTTGTCCTGCCTTGCCATCTGTACTCGCTCGCGACGCTCCAGGTATTTGCTCCTGTCTCGCAAACTTTTTGGCCGATATCGGTTCAGATCCTGCAGAGCCATGTGCTGTCTCTCCCAGGATTGCAAGCGCCTCCAGCGTGAACCAGAGGCTGCTTCATAGTGAGCAAGGATCTTCCGCATAAACTTGGTGCTGTCCACCCCTGCCACTTCCCATACCTCAGCCACTGCCTTTTGAAACAGTTCCCAAGTTTCTTGAAGATTCGCGGGGTGATACTGCCAAGACAACCCACGTATTTTTCGCTCCCGTGTCTGGCGAAAAGGCTCTAAAAGTTTGCGAAGCTGTCCGAGTTGCTCCACGCTGCGGACTGACGGGGATGTCAGCATGAATTTATTGCCAAAGAAGAAACGAGCTCTTTGATTGACAGCAAAGCGGACTTTCAGGTCTGCAAGATCTCTTCCATGTTCCTGTGCAGAAGACTCGAGCGCTGCTTGCAAGCGCTCCTCGAAGTTGCTTGGCAAGCCTCTGCGATCATGCACCTTTTGCTTGACTGAAGTTAGAATCACCAGGTATTCCAAAGCAGTTGGAAAATCCGTTTGTCGGGCAAAGAGTTCAACACAGTCAAAGCGAATTCGAGCTCCATAAGACTGACCCCTTCCACTGTTGCTTCTGTTCAAGGTACCACATGCATTTTTTGGTCGTTTCTTGGACTCTTTCTTGTCTCGAATCTTGTGATTTGTAGGTCGCTTCGTTGCAGACATCCCATGAACTCTCCCTTTGGCTCGGACGGCTGAACTCTCGTCACCATCCTGCAGCTCCTTCCTTCTCTGACCACTAGGGCAACTCGCAGCAGGAGTCTGCACGACGGATTTCACTGGTAGTGTTTCTGTTTGGGATGGAGGCCCTGATGAAGCGTCCACCATCCAGTTCTCCAAAATCAAGCGTTGCTTCTGCGAGAACTGTTGGGTAATCACATCATTCCGTGTATCTCTTGGCAACTGCCGCAAAAGATCACGGATCTTGATCAACAGCTTGGTCTCCTGGGATTGCGGTGCTTGAGGTGGTTTGCCGGCATGGCCCTGGTCCCTCGACTTCTTTCCTGGTTTGGGCGGTCTCTGCTTTGACCCCGCATCCTTTCGTGAAGCACGGCCGTCTTTGGTGGAGGTCTTCTTCTTCACTGGGCCGTCAGAAGTTTGGGTCTGGCCAGACTTCAGAGCAAGGCCTTTGTCATATTTCTTCCGAGTCTCTGGATCAGCCAAGGTCTCAAGCGCCTCATAGACCAAATGGAAAGCCTCCTTGCTACCACCTTTGTCTGGATGAACTTGAAGCGCGCGTTTTTTGAAGGCCAACTTGATCTCATCCAATGTGGCAGTCTGATTCACCCGCAGCGCATCATACAACGACTTTGGCATCGACCCAGCTGGAGCCCGAACTGACTTAAGTGGATACCTTGGAAGAATTCTGGCAGATAAAAAAGGCCATCTTTGAACGGGCCCCAAGATTCACCATCATTCTGGGTAAATCATGGCAAAGAGTATGTATCATAAAAATCATAAAAATCATAAATCACAAACCTGAAATAATGATCATGAAATATCCGAAAAAAACAAGCCAATTATCCAATTGCAATTTTCGGATGCTCCCCCAACCATCATCTGGCCGTAGGAGTCCCATGAGTCCCGTGCGCAGCAAGGGAGGTCCGATCTCCGGTCACCTGAAGGAACAAATGGATAAGGCCCGAGCAAATCCGAGCAACCAACCATGTAAAAATCGATAGAGAGAGAGGGGGGAAAAAGATGGAAAAAGAATGTGGTGGAATGAACAGATGCCAAAAACATCTAGATGTCACAAATGTGTTGGTTTTCTGTGGAGAAAACCGGCGTTGGGGATCCCAAACAACACGCTGTCGGTGGTGTTATCCCTATTTTGTCATCACTTAGGCGTTCACCTCTTAACAACATCCAGAACGAATGACCCGTAAATGGATGGATATCTATGGATTGAATGTACCCTGTAGATTTTCATTTCGTCCATTTCTGGGATGCTATATGATTCATTATGATTCTATTTTTGACCATTTCAGACCTGCCAAGTCCAATCGGCACGCCTTATGTCTCTCCTTCGCGATGGCGAATCTCTCGTCGATGCCGCTGAAGTCGTCGAAGTTGGAGGTGTCCAGGGGACCTTTAACCTTTGTGGTCGATTGATGTGTCCAGGGGACCTAAAAAATCGTGGTAGAAGCTCTCCATTGAGGGTATGGTATCATATGGTATCTATTGGGTATGTTGAATTTTTGAGGTCTGGTTGACCTCAAATTGGGTAGAAATGGAGCTACCAACTTTGAGGCCCCCAGTCATCGTGGGCAGTGCATAGGAGATATCCAGCGAACAAGACCTCTTCGTCTGATTGCCGAGAGTATTCTCATCCGCCTATTTTGTCAAATATCTCCGCCTCCCCAAAATGAATGGATTCAATACAACACCCAGGTTTCGAACAAGGGGGGTATTGAATGAGAACATTCGGGGAGTATGAAAAAATCATGGCGCGGTTCCTCACGGTCACCATGCCATCTTTCAACTGGGAATGGGTTGATGGTACCTCCAATACTGTTTTTTTTGGGGGAGATGGAAATCCAATAACAAACTTTCTGCTTTACCCTCCAGTAAATTAACATGACGACCCTGGCAGTTGTCGGGGTTGGAAGATGAATGTTTCCACTATAAATTTTCGTGATGTTCAGGGTCAACAAGTTAATTTACCAGAGGGTAAAATTTGGTGTGGAAAGCCATTTGCATCAACATCAAATGTCCAGGGTTTTGATCCAAAAAAAAATCATTCGCCGATCAGGATGCCCCATCAACAATCCGAGCGTGGTCGCCTCGTCAAAGTGCTGTGGACAGGATTCTTATATGCTGCTTCAGCATGGTGGATGTTACTGTACTGCCTATGAGTTGATATCCACCCCATCTCACCCCATCTTCCCGCTTGGTGCTCCCCACCACGGGCTTGATGGGCGGCGACATCTGCCGGAGCGTTTTGAAATCCAAGCCCTGGAAGAAGGGATGCACCCGGATTTGCTCCGCCGCCAGGCGATCCTGGATCGATTTCTCCGCCAAAATGACAATGCGAAATCCAGGTGAGTCAACCTGAAGCCATCATCTTCAGATTGTTTTTTTTACATACCCTCTGGTAATGACTAACATAGCTATTGAAAATGGCCATAGAAATAGTGGATTTTCCCACGAAAAATGGTGGATCTTTCCATAGCTATGTTAATTTACCAGAGGCTATCTTTAACCTGAGCTTCTTCCATATTCCCAGTCCATCAGCTGAACTTCCCCACCTCGGGGTCACAAATGAGCCCCTTCAGCAAATCTCGAGCCTGGAATCGAGCGGGAAGGGGGCAATGCAGTCATTTTCATGGGCAAAAAACATCTGGGTAAATTATAATATTTCACTAACCTGAATTAAGGCCATTTGGGGATGATTCCCCTTACTAACCATGATTCCAGGGCTCGGTCGAGTGAGGTCATGATCTAATTTACCCAGAAAACATGGAAGAACTT